GACTGCTCTCTCCTCTAGCTCTAACAAAGGCCTCCCCAGACTCCAGGGGCAAGGCCTGCCTGGGACAGGGGTGCAGGAGTGCCTGGCTGGCCCCCATTTGGCCTTTGGCTGCCTGCATGGCTGGAAGCAGGCATCTTGCTGCGGTGGAGGAATTGGCAAAGCAGCCTCCTTTCATTCCATGGCTTGCCTTTCTGCCAGGCAGCCGGAACCGCCACACACCACTCTGTTCATCCAAAAAAACACAAATAAATAAGGCAGCAGAGAGAGATGCAGCTCTGGCTAGGTCACCAGCCCACCTCCTGCTGACTCACGGTGGAAAAGGTGGAGCCCGCACTCTGAACAGGGCCCTCTGGGGTCACCATAGCTGGCTTGAACCATCAGGCTGCACCCCCACGGGTTTGGATCTGCCAGAGATTCTGGGTCTCCAGCCTCAGTGGAGGTGTCACAGCTTTTCCGGCCTCAGACAAGGCCCAGCTTCCTGGACGTGTGTATGGAACAATAGTACAGGGCTCCTGTGTCCCTAGCCTAGACTCTTGCCATCACCTGGAGACCTCGTCAATATGTTTCTGGTCCCTCCCTTATTCTACCCAAGGGCCTATGAGGCTGATGGAGACTCCAGTCCCTGAGTGGCTGTGATCCTGCTGTGGCAAAGGTCCTAAATGGTAGTACAGCCAACAGGTGGCTTCCCACTGTGAGCCTACCCTACAGTGACCTTCTTTGACTGTGCCATGCTGTCACCCTGACTTCTGCTCCCAAAGACACATCCTCCTGTCACCCCTCTGCTACCGACTCCACCTGAAAGCCAAGCCCTATGGCAGCTCCCTTGGCCTCGGTCCTCCCCACAAAGTCCACGAGCCTGGAAGCAGGACAGAGGGCTCCTGTGGCTCCTCAGTGGGGTTTGCTTCCCTAGCAGGCCACATTCTGGCTTCTGTGAACTGATTAGGTCCCCAGGGGCCTCATCCCAAGAACAGGTCCTGTGATACAAAAAGGATTCCGGTCCCAACAATTGAGAGGTCCTGCCACTGGCTGGGGAACCCCACTCCTATCTGGAAGGTCCTGATCCTGACTGGCAAGGCCTGCCCCACCTGGGAGACCAGGCCTAACAAGGTCTCACCCCTGTGCCCTCCTCCTCTGCGAGGAGTCTGCCCACTTTGCTTCTACATCCGGTTGCCTCATCTCCTTAGAGGAGGTGCTAGGTTGGTGGTGAGGAACAGGGCCCCAGCTGCCTGCAGTGGTTCACCTCACATCCTCAGAGGGTCACGCTCTCATCTGTGGAAAGGGAGCATCAGGAAGTTGGCTACTTACAAAGGAGGATGTCCTAGGACAGCAGACCCCAAATCCGTCTGAAGGGTGTGCGTGGGATGCTCCTGACGTCTGGCAGGTACAGCCCGGGGATGGTCTGACAAGGCACAGGCCTAGCTGATCTCACATCTAAGAATGGCCAGATCCCAACATCAGGGGGCCTTGTGGGCATCCCTGCCTGGGCCTCTGCCCTAAGGTCTGCCTCTATCAGAAGACTCTTCAGAGTTCCTAAGGGGTCTTCCAGAGTCTTAGGTGGACTGTGGTCCTCCGCTCCTTATGTATCAAATAAACTGTGGCTGAGAGTCCCTGTGGCTTGCACAGCAGGATGGACAGACAGCACTGACTCAGGGATGCTATACCCCAGGTATGCTTCTGAAGGCCAAAGAATAAAAACTCAAGCTAAGCTTCGGAGAATCACTGTTCCCACTCCCTCGGGGGAAAGGCCCTTCTACTGGCAGCCAGCAGCTACAGTCAGGCCCCTGTGCCTACTTTGTGGGAAACCCTGTGTGAGCAGATTATAGAAACCTGTGGGTTTCCAAGGGAGGCTCCCAAACCCTAGGTGCCAGACCTCAAGGAAGTGTGGTTATGGGGCTTTCACGGGCTCTTGCAGCACCCTGAAATCCCAACCTTAGTCCTGCACTACACTTCTTCCTCGTGGAATTAGCCCGTGGTCTCACAGAAGGCTTAGGCCAAATTCCAGGCTTGGTTCCAGCCCTGCTGTGATGGACGGGGGCTTGCTGAGCTACTTCACACACAGGATTATTCCGAGGCCCAAACAGATGGCAGGATATTCAGGGGGAAGCACCGTGCATCTGAGAAAGGAGCTCTCAGGAGCTGGCCGCGGTGGGAGGGAGGAGGGGTTTGGATGGTCGTCAGAGAGTCTGCATCTCCTACCCACCCAAAGGAAAGAGGCACCTTCCCCAGCGCGAGCAGAGTCTGGTAGCGAAGCCTCAAGCTCTAGCGTGAGGTAGAGGCTCCGCTCCGCAACGCTGCTGCTCCCAGCACTACCATGGATCTTATCCACAGCCACTGCATAACCCAGCCCATTATTCCTACCAGGGAAACGTGCTCCAACAGCAGGAGTCCACCTTGTGTGCACTGGGGAAGTATCTGAAGCTTCCTGAAATGCCAAGGAAGATAAGAATGCCCGGCCATTGACATTTTTAGAGATACTAGTCTACAAGGCTGGAAAAGAGGGAAAGAACAGAGGAAGGGGGAGGGAGGGAGGAGAGAGAAGAAGTAAGTAGAAAGAAAAGAAGGAAAGAAGGAGGGAGAAAGGAAAGAGGGAAGGAGAGAGAAGGAAGGAGGGAAGGAGGGAGGGAGGGAAGGAGGGAGGGAGGGAGGAAAGAGGGAGGGAAGGAGGCCAAAAAATGTGAAAGTTAGCCTGGCATCAAGGCCCACTCTTTGACCCCAGGACTAGGAGGCTGCATGCGGGTTCTGGGGGCTATCCTGTGAACTCTTGCCTCGAAAGCAGGGAAGAGAGGATACAGAGTGATTGCTTCCAAGTGGCATAATTGGAAACAGGAGAGAATAGAGTGAAAGAATGTTCCAAAAACCGAGGAGGAAATTCGTAAATAAAGATCCCTAATTTTTATCATCTATAGTCAGAAGAGTAAAGGGAGAGGCTATTTCTGACAGCAATGTGAAAAGAACAAGCTACAAACAAATGCAAACAACACACATGACTTCCCTACGAGGAAAATCAAAAGCATTACAAAAGGAAATTTGAAGGCCTGGGCTTAGCTCAGTAGTGAAACACTTGCCTAGAAAACTAGAAAATTTGAATCAATGGGCAAAGAAACTGTGTGTTCTTTTTTTTTTTTTTTTTCAGGACAAGGTTTCTCTGAGTAGCAGCCCTGTCTGTCCTGGAACTCAATATGCAGACCAGGCTGGATTTGAACTCAGAGATCCACCTGCATCTGCCTCTCAAGTGCTGCTGCCACTACCAATGGTGAGGCTGTGTGTTCTTGAGCAGAAACAGTAAACACACACACACACAAAAGAGAATAAAGAAAGGAAGGAAGGAAGAAAGGGAAAGAGAAAGAGACAGAGAGAGAGAGAGAGAGAGAGAGAGAGAGAGAGAGAGAGAGAGAGAGAGAGAGAGAGAGAGAGAATCACAAAACCTTGTTTCTTCTATGAATCTGTAACTCGGTAACTGCGGTGGTAAATGATACTAATAGGATTTTGGCTTTTTTTGATGGGGGAGGGGGAACAAGAGACTCACTTAAGCAAGTTCTAAAATTCAGGGGCTAAGGAGCCAGGTATGATTAACCCACAGACACATGAAGACAGACCAGAAGTCTCTGCCCTGGCTGGGGCTTATGTGCAGCATGTCATAGCATAGGCTAGATGACTTTGAAAGTCACACCAGTAGACAGAAAGAAGGCAGACAGGGCTGGTGGTGGTGGTGCTCATCTTTAATCCCAGCACTCAGGAGGCAGAGGCAGGAGGATCTCTGTGAGTTCAAGGCCAACCTGGTTTACAGAGTGAGTTCCAGGACAGTCAGGGCAACACAGAGAAACAAACAATAAAACAAAATAAAACAAAAAGTCAGACAGTTCAGCAGGGACATAAGGCTCTGTGGGTCTTTGAAGGTGAAATATTCCTCCCAGTCTCCCTTGCTTAAACACTTGGTCCCCAGCTGGTGGCACTGTTGGGGAAATCTGTGGACCCTCTAGGACGGGGAGCCTTGTTAGAAGAAGTGAGTCTGGGGTGTGTGTGGCCTTTGGTCTTTATAACCTGGGCCCACTTCCTCTTCACCCCCTGCAGGGACAATGCGACCAGCAGCTTCCTTTATTTCACCACACTTTCCCTGCCTGTGGCCATGTCTTCCCTGCCAGGGATGGACTGTATCCCCAGGAACCATGAGACAAAATAAGCCCTTTCTCCCTTAGGTTGCTTTGGCCATGGTATTTTTATCATAGTGATGAGAAAAGAAAGTAAGAACTAAGCAACGATCAAAGGTTGTGAGGTAAAACCCGAAACAAAATAGAAAGCATAGGAGAACTTTTTGATGGTCTCTTAGAAGGAAGTCCTTTCTCCATAAGGGCCAAATTAGCCACCATGAAAAGAATTAATAGTTGTCCTGCGATCCCAAGACTGTTGAGCAAGTGCAAAAAAAAGCATCTCAAAGCGAAAGGCACACTGGAAAATATTTGTGTCATATGTCCTTCATATATAAAGGTTTCCTGTTAAAAATGCAAGAATGTAATAGAATAAAAATGCCAAAGCCACATCAACAGCCAGCCCACAAGAAAGCCGATGACCCTGAGCACAGTGAAGGGCACTCAGCTCCACTTTGACCCACCGTGCTCCCCTCAGCACAGCCCCCTGATGCTCTGCCAGGAAATTCCTCTTGAAGACCTGACCTCAACACGTTACCTCCGGAGGACAGATCTCTGCATCAGTGCTATCGCCAGTATTATCAGATAAAAACTGGATACACAAAGTCAGCAAACAGTTCTGGTAAATTCTGAGCTTCACAGACTAGATTCCCACTCTACTTCTGCAGCGGGGCTGCCAGGTGGACGCGCTATCCGTTTCTCAGGTGGGAACAGTAAAGCTCGGAGAGTCAGGCCAGGAGCCAAAAGTTGCCTGAAGTCTTTTCTAGGCCTGCCTTCTTGTACATGTGGTCTTGAGCATCCCCAGGGCAGAGGTGGGCAGTGGCCAGAGCAGTTGGGGGGTGGGGTGGTACTCACTTGTGCATGTAGCCCTCGGGGCCGGCCGTGAGGTTGGCCTGCATGACCGCCTGGAACTCTGTCTCGTTGCAGCAGTATTTGAAAACCGTGTTGTTATGGTGACAGCAAAGGACGAAGGTCTTGTTGTCTGAGAGCCGGGGACAGTGGAACCCGAAGTGGTAGCGGCCTTTGTGGTCTGTGTAAGGCTCGCAGACCCGGAAGTGTGCGGACAGGACTGGAACACAGAGACACCAGGTTCACCAGGGTTCCCTTGGCAGCCCACAGGTGCCAGGGAGAAGGGACCAGCAGCCTGTCTCAGGGTCCTGTCGGCTCCTCCCTTCCCTAGGAAGTCTTCCTGGTCCAGGAAGGGCCTCACCTCCACCCCAAAGCCTCCTTGAAACCTGTCACCAACTCTGTCAGAACAACAGCACTCATATCCCAGACTGAGTGCACCTTGGGGATCCTTGAAGCTCTCTCCCATTAGTGGACCCCCTCCTGCATCTCAGCCCTCAGCGACCAGGCACCCTTCTGTGTCTCAGGGGTCTCCCCACTTAATCCAGATGGCCATCCTAGTAGTCAGGCTTGTGTGGTCATTTCGTAGGCAGAGAAACTGAGAGGTCTAAAGGAATTGATGGAGCTGGTCAGCATTGACGGCAAAGGACTTTAACAAAGCTCCTGCAATCTCTCCCTGCCCCTTCCCCACCTTAGCTTGCTCCAGAGTAGGTTGGGTGTGAGTCAGGCTCTCCTACTTAGGTCCGTAGGACCTAGGGTCCACCTGTATTGACAGTGCCAACTCCTTAGTGCCTCACAGTCTAGAAGTTGTTGCCCCAGACCCAAGCAAGGTCCTGTCTGGGCCCCACACATACAGGGCTGTGCAGGCCCCAGATCCTCCCTTCCCTGGCCCACGGAAGGAGGCCCTATTCAGCCTCCTCTGCTGCAAACCAGGATGAACTGACGGTGATAAACAGGATTGAGTGCGAACAAAGCAACAATGGAAAAGCTGGAGAGGCTGTCTCTGGCTTAATTAGTATCTTCATAAAGGGCTCACTGTATCTAATTTGTATCACTGAAAAGGGGCTTCTTGGCTCAGGCATCTCCCAGGCACAAAGGCCCTGGCTTCTTAGAGCTCCCACAAGAAGCGCTGTCGACTGAGAGGTTATTAGATTGCAGCCCACATAGCGCCACCGCCACCGCAGGGGACCCCAGCAGGCCAGCTGGCAGGGGGCGGGCACCCTGAGAGCTGGTGCCTAGCTGCCTCCAAAGGCCTTTCCCTGAAGGATAGTTCCTCCTCCTGTGGACACAAGCTGGGAGGTAGGGGCTCCCCAGACTCCAGCCCACTCTTGTTCTTGAACAGAGCCCTGCCCAGGGATGCAGAGGCCACTTGGTGTGATGCCCCAAGGAGACATACCACCGGGTCCCATCTACTCCCACCATACAGAAGAGAAAAGCAAGACTCAGAGCCTTGGCTCACCAAGCATGCTAATCAGAATGGAGGCTCTTCGGCCTCTCCGCAGCAGAGCTCTGGGTGTGTGTGTGGGGGGGTCGATCTATTTTGCGCCTGCCACAGGGATGTCCGTGTGCTTGGGCTGGGGACCACTGCCCCAAAGCGACTGCACACAGTGGTATTAATGGCTAGGGGCAGAGGAGAGTAATCAAATTCCGTGACTCTTGCATGACATGAAGTCCTCTTGTGGCTCTGTGTGCCCAGTGCGGGCACCTGGGGATGCTGGACACACCTAGAGTGCCACTGAAAGACCAAGCCTGTCTCTGGGACTGGCCCCAGGCCATGCGACACGGCACACAGCAGAAGACCGTCAGGCCTTTGCAGAGGCCACTGTGAACACAGGTGAGACCAGCAGACCTGGCCCACAGCCCCTCAGCCATTCCTGGACGCTCTGGCCACCAGCCTTAGTCATTCGCCAGTGACCGGAAGTCCTGCCGCTTCCCCAGGAACAGAGGAGTCCTGGACAGGGACCCGGATGGCTGCGTGGATGCCCTAGATGAGGATGATATCCCAAGCTCTTAGCCTCCCACCTCACCTCCTCCCCTTGTTAGAGAAGGATCAGCACCCCCGTGGTGGGGGCTCCAAGGAGCTCTTTGCACACTCCCAGGCGCATGCTCACTGCCTTCAGCCCTCGTGGGCACTAAAGCCCAGCACTTGTATGAAGCATGGTGAACCCCAGCTCTGGAGTCAACAGTCTGCAGCTGTGTGATCACCACCCACTTGCCTCCTCTGAGTCCCTGACCTCAGGGATAACAAGAAGCGGCTGGTCCTTTACACCCAGGATGATGAGGACCAGGGCCTCCCCATCACATGGGAAGAGAGCTGGGGAGATGAAGACCAGTCACCCTTCACATGGGGGAGAGCTGGGGAGATGAGGACCAGTCACCCTTCACGTGGGGGGGAGCTGGGGAGGTGAGGACCAGTCACCCTTCACATGGGGGAGAGCTGGGGTAGGGGTGGCCCCAGACTCTGGCCTCAGTTTGACCTCTCTTGGGAGTCCTCTCCACACCCCAGTCCCTTCACAACTCTTTCTGAGCTGCACACACCCCAAGTAAAGGGTGAGGGAAGGAAGCCACAAGTCCTGAGCAACAGCTTGGCCACAGTGTGGGGAGATTCAGAGAGGAGAGAGAGAGAGAGAGAGAGAGAGAGAGAGAGAGAGAGAGAGAGAGAGAGAGAGAGAGAGAGAGAGAGAGAGAGAGAGAGATCCACGCACAACAGACAGAAAGAGGCAGAGACGAGAGATCGAGAAAGGGATGTGAGAGAGACATACAAAGAACCAGAGACACATTAAGAGAGATACACAGAGAAGGGGCAAATATACAAGGAAAGAGAATGGCTCAGAGACGCAGGAGGGGAGAGGGCGAGACAAAGGCAGACAGCACTGCGAGTGCTTTTGTGCAGGACCAGACGTGGACTAGGTCCTGGCTGACCGGCTGCGTCGTCTCTGTTCTTGACTCCACTCTAGTTTGGAGGCACGGAGGGTCTGGTTTCTATGAGCCCAAGCTTGCATTCAGTGTCAGTCCAGGGGCCGACTGGTACCAGGAGGGTGTGGCTCCTCCCGTGTCCTGGGTCTGAATCCTAGCCCCTCTACTAGCTCTGTTCTCCAGCCTCAGTTTCTCACCTATCAGAGAGGTAGACTGGCATTGCCTACTTTTGACTTGCAGAACTAGAGGGACAAATCTGAATGCAGGCTCCCGGCAGCTCCACTGCCTCCAGCATCCAATAGCTCATCCCCTGATGGGGAAACAATATCAGGAGACGAAGGTGCTTTGCCCTGCCGACATGCAGAACCCCAGCTGCAGCCCTGCTCTGGAAGGGACCCCCCACTCCCCACTAGCCACTGAGCCCCACAGAGGTTTTACCTGCAGGAAACAGCAGGGAGAATACTGCGAGCAAGTTCCAGGACCGCTGGCCACAACTGGTCATCATCCGGCTGGCATTGACCCGTCCGGCGCTGCCTGTGTAAGACACAGAGAGTCTCGGCAACTGTCTCCCCACACTTGCTTTGTTGCCCACAGAGGAGGGACAGCAGACAGGCAGCAGCCGACGGGAGCTTGCGGGAGAGTCGGGGCGGGCGAACGGAGGATGGAAACACCTCCATCCAATTTCCTCTCTGGAATGAATGACCTTCCCCCAGCAGCCCCGGCACCTCCTTTGCTTTTCACGGCAAAATGAGACTTAATCAAAGGATGCCGACGGCTCAGGTGGTGAAGTCAGCATCCAGGTGTCCAGGAGGAGGGGGGACGACAAGTCCACTACCCCTGCCACCTCAGGGCTTGAGACCCTGCCTCCCTGCTGAGTCTCCGAGGGTGATTTCCATTAACCTTTCTGCACATTGGCAATGGCCAGGCCACCCTTCTAGGCACCAGGGACACAGCAACCGATTAAAGAGGAAGCAAACAATGGAGACGGGAGCCTTCTCTGGTGGTGTGTGTCCCAGTGTCACAAGTAAGCAGGGAACAGTGCTGGGGGACTCGGAACACTGCAGAGGCTCCACTGTGTACTCCCACCCCCACCCCCACAGCCTTTATTTACAGCAGCCCAAATAACCTAAGTCTCCACAGACAGGAGGAGATAAAACAAAACACGTGTATGTGAAATATTACTCAGCCTTGAAAAAGGAAGGCAGTGAGCTGGGGGGGGGCAGCTAAGTACTAGAACGCAAGGCCCGGGGTTCAATTCCCACTACTACCAACATGAAAGGAAGAAGGCTCTGAAACACCCTACACTGTGGAAGAATTTGCTGGCCGTAGGGTTTGGTGAAATAAGATGGACCCAGAAATACAGATCCAGCTCACTCTCGTGCAGGGGAAGTGCCTAGAATGGTTGTATCTGCGGAAGCGGGCCCCTAGCACTAGGCTACCACAGCCTACGTGGTGCACGGGTCCTTGCCCTTCTCAGGGTAGACTCCTGCCCCTTCATATGGTTCTAGTGCCTGCACAGCAAGCATCAGCTTCTCAAGGACAGTCAGGGACAATGCCCAAGTGCAAAACTACAGTTCAACGTGACAAGGGCCGTGCCCGGGGCCATAGGGAGCACCCCTGTCTCAGCCCACACTGTCCCCGAGCCCTTCTCAGCCTTCTGCAGCAGACTTGGTGCCACCCTGCCCTCGGGGACTCTCCACCTGGTCACAGAGGGAAGGGGGGAACCAACTCGGGCTTCACCCTGTACCCTGCCTCCGTAGGGATCAGTCAGGGTCGGCTGAGGGCCACTGGGGTGACGCGGAGGTTGGCTCTAGGTCAGGCATGTATGTTAGGGGCCCTTGTTCCAGTAGCCCAGGCCTTGGGGTATATATATGTACCTGTAGGGACAGATGCTGACCTTGGCAGAGGGGACAAGCTTGCCGATCAGGACGAATGTCACCAAAGCTCAACACTGCATCTCGATGGTGGCATGGCCCCTATGGGCCTGGGGCGGGCCCCTCTGTACCCCCTCCTTCTAGTCCCTCTTAAACTGTAAGCTGCTTAATTGCTCTGAGCTTGGCCTCCCGCCCCTGCTCCTGCTGGGCGGAAGAGCAGAGATTAAGGCTTCTGAGAGCACTTAGGAGAGGATTTCCATACGGAAACCCACAGGGTCAGCTCCGAGAAATGCGAAATGCGCTGTGAGGAGGGAGCACCCCTGAGATGCCCTCACCACCGGGGTAGGGGGTTCTCACCCTACAAGCTCAGAAGGAGAGGCCGGGGAGGCTGGCTGGGTGTTCAGGTGCCCATCCCCCCACCCTTTCTGGCCTGTGAGGCGGGGCTGCCCCAGGGCTGTCTCTGTGTCAAGGAGGAGCTGGGGGAGGGGGGAGAGGTTGACTCTAAGAGCCACAGGGCATCCGCCTCAGCCCACCTCTTAGCTTTCACCCCCAGCAAAGACCCGGTGTACCGGCTGATGCTGAGGCTGTCATAATCCAAGTCCTGTCACCTTGGAGTCACAGACAATTTGCCCCTCAACTAAGACCCGTGGAATCTCACACTCTCCTGACACCAATGTGCTAACTCACTTACTCCCCTGCTAGACTGTCCTCCCTCAAAGCTCAGTCTACCTCCCATGCATCGAGGGCCTGCCAGGCCTTCTGGGGAATGCAGGCCCCTGGTCTCCTTTGAGATATGCAGGCGCTCCTGTATCCCAGCACTTTGGGGGCCGGCCAGGCTCTGGGTTTAGGCTCTGAGCACATGGAGGAGGAAATCATTGTCCAAGGGGTGGGCTGTTGTTCCTGGTGTCCACAGCTGGACTGTTGAGGGCTCATCCTTGGGTTCCTTTGCCAGGCCAGAAGGGTCCCTGACTGGGACCTGACTGCAGGGCCCAAGCAGAGGGCTTAGCTTAGGGTTCCCAGGCTCTGGGGGAACCCTGGCCCCACAGGATCCCAGCTGGTCCTGCCCATGCTAAGTGACCATGTGGCTAACTGTGAGTCAGCCTGAGAAGGTCTCAATCGTCTTCAGCTTCATGGTCCAACTGATGCTCAGCCCCCACTTGGGTCTGGCCTCAGAGAAGTAAACCAGGACTGAAGGCCCTGGTGGGGAGGGAGCACCAGGCTGTCAGATACTCTGGGACGTGCAGAGAGTGACGGCTGCTGAATTTCACTCCACTGGAGAAGGGCAGGGACTGAAAGCGGTCTTATCTCTCCTCTGGCCTGCCTCTGAGGTCTGTGACACCCCTAGAGGTGGCTGCTATGTTGGCATGCTCTCCCCACCTGCTATGTTGGTGTGCTCTCCCCGTACATCACCATATCACCTCGGCTGATTTTCACACTAACCCAACACCCACAGGTCAGTTCAGCATTGAGGAAATGAAGGCTCAGAGAGGTGGTGTGCACCGCCCAGTCTCACACAGCCACTCAGACAGGAGGCAAAGAGCATTCTACCTCTAACGCCAAAACAGCATGGTGGCCCGTGAGGCCTCCCAGGGAGCGTGTGGTGCCGGCTCGTCTGAGATTTATCCTCGTGTGTTCCAGCACTTTGAAAACCGGTCAACTGCCTACGATGGTAGCTCTGCCACCAACAATAAAACCCCCGGAGTAGTTGAAGAGTGATGTGGGACTTCACTGCCTGAAGTTTGACAGGGTCCAGGATCGTGTCCGGCGCGCACTACCATGGCCCACCCTCTCCTCGGGTCAGCTGGGGACTGCTGCTCTGAGATTTCATTATTTTTAAACACCGAATTTGGTGAGGCGGGGAGGGGAGGAAGAAGGGCATGTGAAGAGAAACAGGCCTTGGTGAGATGGATGAGACCCCACCCACCGCCAAGAATGGGCCTGTTTTCCCGTCATCAGCGCTCTGCAGGGCAAGGGCACGGTGAGCAAGGGACAGGGGGGCGGGAGGGAGATACTGGAGGGCCTCGTCAATGGTCCACGGCCTGGTCACCCAGCCACTTCTGGTGCTTCCTGATGCTCAGTCCTGATGTCAGCCCGCTGGGTGTGGGGAGGGTGTCCCAGGGTCTAGAGGGTCAGGGTCAGCCAGGCTTGCAGGTGGAGCCCTCAGGGTCAGCCACTCTGCCTGGGGCTATTTTCTGGCTCTGACACATTTTTTTCTAACCAACCACACACACCTCTAGTGATTGGGAGACCTTCGGTCTTCTGAGCCTGAGAACAAGGGTAGAAATGGACTGAAGTCACAGTTGCTGTGCTCTCCCAAGACTCTTCCTGCAGCATGAAGCCCTTGCACGGGCTGCCTACAGGTCTCTGCATCAGCGTCAATCACCAACCCGGCTCCCAGGCAGGCCCACATTCCATGGTGCATGGTGCGCATCAGACCAGACCATCACCTACCCTGGAGGTCAAGGCCTTGCTGGCCACTGGAGCCTTGGCTCTGCCTCACCACCCCCCATACCACCTGCTGCATAGGTTTCTGCCCCCAGGGCCTGTGGCTCCCCTGAGCCTTTGCAGGTGCCACCTCGCTACCCCAGGGCCACCCTCCCCACCCTGCAGTCAGGGCCAGAGGCTCAATGGGCAGAGTCCACTTACAACTTCCCCTCCCAATCACACCTCAAGAGCCCCCCAAAATGGTATCCCACCCTAACTGTCCCGATGCTCGGCCTGGGCAGGGACTGTGGGCCATGGTGTTCATGTGGCTTGTGTCCTGTCTTGAGAGTGAAGTGAGGGGCCAGACAAGGGCCACAAGGACAAGTCACTTGTCAGTCCCAGGCTCTGAAGCATACGAGGAAGCCAAAAGCTGTGGGGAGAGTTCTATACTTTCTCAGTTCCAAGTGGCCCCAAGTAGAAGCCCAGAGTCTTGCCCTGCTGTAGCTACCCATGCCCAGGTGAACTGTCTGGGATGTCCATATCCGGTCTGCTTATGTGGCACAGGTCAATGTCACCTCACCTCTGAAGTAGCCGTGCTGTCCCATGAACACCTGAGGAGCTGCCACAGGGAGCCAAGCAAACCTGGTAGACAAAGTCCCACGGCCACGGGTGAACTGGTAAGAACTGGCATTAAGCCAGTCCTGTGATGAGCTAGTGATTAAACCTGGGCCCCACTACCAGTGGCAGAGACGTTAGTGTTAGCATAAATAATCCCACCGGGCCTAGGCCCTCCAGGGTCTCACAGACAGTCCTGTGGGTAGCAGCCCTGTGGCCAGATGGGAGCCATAAACAGGGAACACAAATGGCAATCAGCAGGGTTAGGACAGAGCTCAGCATCTTCCCCACTCACCCTGGCTCACCATCCCGGTCTGTGCCAGATACTGTGCGTGGGTGGAGGGAACAAAGTGTCAAGAAGTGCACACCAGAGACCGGGATGTGAGGCTACATAGCCAGCTGATGGGGACACGGGCCCATGCACACTCAGACACAACTACCAAGACAATGCATACGCTTGCATGTCTGCTCAGCACACACACAACCCAAGAGACATTCACTCATGCATGCACACACACACCCCACAACCCAGAGGGATGCATGTGTAGACCCAACACCCACCAGCTCCCACACAGTCTTGTGAAGACACGTCATGAGTGACAATTGTCACTCAAGTTCCCA